GTCATGAGACAAAGTGTATGTGAACTGCTGTATGGAAAGTGAATTTGCTCTGTAAATCTTCACCCAAATCACAATTAAAAAAAAAAAAAAGAGAGAGAGAATAAAAAAAAAGGAAGTGGGTATTATAAACCAAATTTTTCAAGTAGCAAGAAGTTAGACTCATGCAGAACGGTGTGAGGCATGATTTTTCAGAAGATGGTCATCCTACCTTTCAAATATCCTACCAATTCCCACCAGACTTGATGAAGACGGCATATAAAGGCAATAGCTTGATAACAAAGGAGTGCTGTTTTTGTCTTGAAGTTGAATGTGTATCTCCAAACACATAGATTTATATCTAATGTCAGTTAAGCAAATGTTTGTCTTATTACACAGCGTACCTTCCTATGCATTAAAAAAAAAATTAAAGAAACACTTCCAGATACACTAAAACAGTTTTAACATAATATGCAGTAACAATAACAATAATGTTTTGATGCACGTCAAAAAGTAGTGCCCATTTGTTACTACGAACTTCGAATTTTTAATCGATTTTACTTAACTCAGACATTAGCAACCTGGGGACTGCCTATATATGCCTTTAAAAACAAAATTACCTCAAGCAAAGTGTAGCACCCAATAACCCAAGAACTAAACGGAAGGAATTCTCAGTAATTATTTGTTTAATGCCTCAATTAACATACATAATTCAGAGGAGGATTGTAACTCCCAGGAAACACCGACTTACTGAATACAATTTTGACTTTCTTTTCTGAGCTTGAGTAAATTTTCATCTTCACCTAGTTACTTCAAAAATCTTGTGAGGTAGGAAATATTACCCATAAATTAATGAAGAAAGAGTAAAATCTAAAAGTGGTGGAAGAAGCTGCCTAAAGTTACATAACTAAAAGGTACCGAATTAGCTGGTACCATCTCTTGTTCTTAATGTGCCCTTGACTCATAGTGACCCCTCCTTTGGTTTCCGAGGCTGTATCACTACGGAAATTGATTGCCCAACCTTCCCTCCGAGGAGTGGCTGGTGGGTTTGAACTGGCAGCCTTCGGTACCATCTCTAGGGCTCCAAAATTCAAGCTGTTTACGCTAGACTGTAAGCTGGGAACTCTGGTAGCATAGTGGCTAAGACACTTGCCTGCTAACCAGACGGCTGGCGGTTCAAACCCACCAGCCACTCCTCGGAAGGAAGGTTGGGCAATCCTACTTCCGTAGTGATACTGCCTCGGAAACCCAAGGAGGGGTCGCTATGAGTCGGGGCCGACTGGACGGCACATAACAACAACAACATACTAAAGCTTGTGCTTCCATTTGTCTTCCTAAGCCATTAAACCAAAAACCCAAAATCACTGCCATCGAGTTGATTCCCACTTATAGCGACCTTATAGGAACAGAATAGAACTGCCCCATAAGGTTTTCAAGATTGTAAATCTGTAGGTAAGCAGACTCTCATCTTTCTCCCACGGAGCGGCTGGTGGGTTCGAACCAACCACCTTTTGGTTAGCAGCCGAATGCTTTATTCACTGCGCTACCAGAACTTCTGGTTGGATAAGAGGGTTTGCTGAAGATTTAATAAATGTGCTCTCGTCTCTCTCTTTTTTGTTTCCTTCTATGTTGCCAAGCCTTTGCTTTCGTATTACTTCCTGCGCTGGGCTATAAATTCAACATAATGAGGCTGCTTGCATAATTCTAGGAGTCAGAGTATAGGCCCGAAGAACAAGAAATCTGCTTTACTTCCTACGTCTGAAAGTCTAGCGCCACCACTACAAATGACAAACACAGGCTCTGGTCCAGAGAAGATGCAGACCGCGCCCAGGTCCCAAGTCAAGGCCCAGGTTGAGGCCAAGCCAGGGGCGACCAGAGGGTTACCCTTTCCCGACACCCTCGTCACGGCAGGGGCCTAGAGAACGTTGATGCCACAGTAACAGGGCACACTATAGACTCCAAAGCCCGCCTTATGTCCGTTAAACGCACTTACTTGAGCGAATTCCAGGACACAAGACCGGCACCCGCAACCGGAAGGCCTCTTCTGTCCTCCAGCTCCAGGGGCTAACGGTGACGTCATCTGGGCAGCGCCGCAAATAGCGAAGGCCCAGCGCAAGGCCACCAGCTCAGCGCACGCGGGAAAGGCGGGAGGCGCAGCGACGCTTCTTTTAAGCGTCACGGGCGGGGCTGCAGCCTCTGGAACTGAAGTTTGAACATGTCGCGCCTGAAGAGAGCAGCTGAGCGGGATCCTCGGGAAGGTTTCAGAACTGAACAGAGAGACTGCACTACCTCAGTACCCCAGGGGCTGTTAAAGGCGGCGAGGAAGAGCGGCCAGTTAAACCTGTCTGGTAGGAACCTTAGTGAAGGTAAGTAAGAGCAGGCAGTACAACCCTATTCTTCCTCTCAGAAGCCCTTGCTGCAGTCATCCTCCCCTTGCTCTGGCTGCCTTTGTCTTAGGCTCCTAGCGATGTCCCCATGCTCTAATCCATGCACACATCACATCCATGCACACCCGTTCTGGCCCTGCTCCACGCCAGAGTCCCTGAGGAAGGGACCTTGATGGGATTATGGCCAAGATTTAAACGGGTGGCTTTCTTGATTCTCCCATCCTAAGCGATAAGCAGAATGTGTAACTAAATTACTTATCAGATGATGGGCAGATACTGTTTCGTTGGCTCGCATTTTTATTCTCTTAATTTTTAGAGGCCTTGATCTCCAAGGGAATTTACCAAAGCCACAATCTTATTTTGTCTGACCCTTTGTGAGCTGAGGGTGAATGGTACTTACTGTTTGTGGAGATTTTCAGTATATTACTGCACGAAGTCCTATTTAAAGGAATAGTGAGCGTATTTCCTAAAATGAGGGTCTGTAAGGTCGATATGAGTCAGAATGGACTTGACTGGTAGGAACCTTAGTGAAGGTAAGATTCCCTTAGTAAAGGCAACGGGTTAGGGTTTGGTTATAGATGGCATTCAAAGTATTTGAATTGGGAGCCATCCTGGAAAACCTGGGAAAGGCCTGCAAGCCTTTGCCATGAATACTGTGAACGAATGGCTAAATGCTCTTCTGATTATCAGTTGTGTAGGAAAAAGAAAGAGAATAGCATTCTTCCTGTAATGTTTTCTTCTATTTATGTTCAGGTTTTTAGACTATTTGTGATTAAAGCTTTCCATTTTCCTTCTAATGATGTTTTCTTATTGTGCTGTGTATAAGGTACACTATGCAAACAAATACTTAATGAATAAAAAGGATATATATGACATAAGATCGCACCTCTACCTTAAAGACATTTTTTTTTTTTTTTTCAATCAGTGGGAACATAAATATTTAGTTATAGATATGCACATGTACTTGGCTTTTCACAAAGCCTGGAACACTTTTTCTCTGATACCCTGCATAAAGCTCACTTTTTTGCCTCCTTCCGGACTCTGCTCAGGGAGCCTCTTCCTAACTACCCTCTCTGAAAATACCATTACTAACACTATGTTCTCTTACCTGTGACATTTTCAAATAGCATTTGTCACTGTCAGAATTTATGGTGTTTGTTTACTTATTGTCTTTTCTGTCCTCCAACTAGAATGTTATTTCTAGGAGATCAATTCTTTGTTTTGTTCATTGTCATATTCCTAGCACCCAGAGTAGTGCTTGGCACATAACAGTTGCCATCAAGTCAACTTCCATTCATGGCCACTCCACGTGTGTTGGAGTAGATATGTGCTCAGTAGGGTTTTCAATGGTTACTATTTCACAAGTAGATCAACAGACTTTTTTGCAAGGTACTCTAGATGGACTCAAACTTCCAACGTTTTTGTTAACAGTTGAGGTTGTTAACTTTGCACCATGTAGGGATGTTTGCAACTATGGTGGCTTAGTTCATAGTATTGTGGAAGGAATAAGTAGCAAATGAATATTCCCAAATGCTAAGTGGTGTATGTGTTGGAGTATACTCATTAATTATATCTAAGTGATTTAATCTATTAAAATTTTAGGAAGCAAATGAATTTTGACTCAACTCCATGGTGACAAGCATCAAGGCCCTTTAGGTTATTACTGTATGAACAGCCCAACATAATACCTAGCACATGCTAGCTACTCAATAAATAATAATAAATAAGTTAATGAGTAAATTTTATAGGAGGGAAAAGATATAAATGGGAGTGCCTCATGGTATTTGCAGCTTTTGTATTTGAACAACTTCCAGTGTCACTGGAAAAAGCTGGTTATTTTTAATAGCTACATAATATTCCACCTTATAACTACTATAATGTACTTAAACATTACAATATTGTCAACGTTTTTTAAGTTAACATTTTGAGTGTTAGTTCCATAACTTATTTAGAAAGGGAGCTCTGGTAGCATAGTGGCTGAGACACTTGCCTGCTAACCAGATGGCTGGCGGTTCAAACCCACCAGCCACTCCTCGGAAGGAAGGTTGGGCAATCCTACTTCCGTAGTGATACTGCCTTGGAAACCCAAGGAGGGGTCGCTATGAGTCGGGGCCGACTCGACGGCACATAACAACAACAACAACAAATGTCATAGTTCGGTTTGTGTGTCAACTTGGCTGGGCCTGGTTGAATGGCTGGGCAGCTGGATGATGAGACTGGTAATCAACTCCATGGTGGAATCTACTGTGAGCAGCTGAGTAGCTGCCTTAGGGAATGTGGTCTGCTTCCTGTATATAAGCAGAAGCTTTGGGGAATGGTCTCTAGCTTATGACACTCTTGAACCCTGCATATAGCCGTGTCGTAGTTCAGCAGCCTGCCATGCTCTGCCGACCTTGGGACTTTTGATGGACTAGAATTAATGGCTTGCCGTGGGGTTTGGTAACATCAGGATTGTGCCTTTTTACTTGTCAACCTTGGGCTTGGCAGCCTCAGCAGCTGGCAGCTGTCTGAGTGGGCAGCTTCAGCTTCAGTGTGTAGGAGCTGGAGGCAGAACTGAAGCCCAAGGCTGAGGGGCTTTCACCCAGTCCCTAGAGCCTGGCACTTTGAACTCAGACTTTATGCCTCCAAACTCTAAGAGAATAAACTCATGTTTTGTTAAGGCCATCCCATTTGTAGTATATTCCTGTCAGAGTGGCAGTAGGTAACCAAAACAGTATATCTGAACAGAAATAACTTAAATAATCAACTTAGTACTTTTTTTTAATATATATTTACATATTAAAAAAAAAAAAACTCACTGTTGTTGAGTCGAATCAGACTCATAACAACCTCTCCTTAGGTTTCTGAGTCAGTGTTACTACAGAAGTAGATTGCCCGATCTTCCTTCCCAGAAGTGGCTGGTGGATTTGAACCACCAGCCTTCTGGTTAGCAGTCAAATGCCTTAAGCACTATGTCATCAGAGCGCCAATATACATATATATTGAAGTTCAGTTTTACCTGATAGTTTCCATTGTATAGACTGGTAAACTATAGACTGGTATAATATACCATTATTGGAATGGTTCAACAGAAATCCTCAATAATTAGAATTATATTTATACCTTTTAGTAGTTATTTATATTTTTATACAAGGCAAAAGTGACATAAATCTTGATGGTATGAGCCCTAGCAGAAATTGAGATACCTCACAAAGATTAGTGAGGGATGAGCAGGAAGTCATTGTTTATGGAAAAGCAAATTGGTACATGTCCCAAAATAGTGTATCAGCAGTTCTCCCATCCGTTGATAGTTCCACCAACTTTATTAACAAAACTATATGAATAATGATAAAATGTTAACATTCATTTAGAGTGGTTGATAGGTACAGGTGTCTGTATTGTGTTCGGTATCAGCGTATTGTGTTCCTCACCTTCCTCTCCCTGAAATCACTGTAGTATTTGACAGCTTGTTATTAGGTTGCTATTTAAGTACAATCACTTCACTACACCAAATATAGATGTGCAGAAGTATTCTTCATATGTTCTTTTGGAGTAGAACTAAGCATATCAAATACTTTCTTCCATATTTATTTTTCAGTGTTTTGTATTATTTTGGTTTTCTTGTTTGGAGCCTTTATTTATTTATTTAATTTTACTAAACATCTTTTTTTTTTTTTTCCCCTCCCCAGCAGTCTTCCCCAGTCTCCCCTCCCATACCCTGGTAATCAACAAAGAAAGTTTCCTTCCATATGTAAACCTTTCCTTGATTTTTTACAATAGTGGACTAATACAATTTTGACCTTCTGTGATTGACTTATTTCACTCAGCATAATGTCTTCCAAGTTCATCCACATTATGAGGTTTTTTATGGATTCTACATTATTCTTTAGTATTGTATATACATATATACACAGTATGTAGCATAGTTTTGTTATTCATACATCTGTTGATGGGCACTTAGGTCTGTCTCTTTGCTATTGTGAATAGTGCTGCATATATGTATGGGTGTGTGCATATATCTATTCATGTCCTACCTCTTACTTCTTTAGGATATATTCCTAGTGATGAGATTGCTGGCTCAAATGGTATTTCTATTTCTAACTTGGGAATCACCATACCATTTTCCAGAGTGGTTGTATCATTTACGGTCCCACCAGGAGTATATGAGAGTCCCAATCTCTACACATGCTCACCAGCATTTGTTATATTCTGTCTTGTTAAACTTTGCTGGGGTGAGATGATACCTCCTTCTTGTTTTGGTTTTGCATCTCTCTAATGGCTAATGATCACAAACATTTCATTATATGTTTATTGGTCTTCATAAGTGACTGTTCATGTCTTCTGCCATTTTTTAATTGGATTGTTTGTCTTTCTAATGTTGAGATATTGGAGTTTTCTATAAATTTTAAAGATAAGTCCCTTGTTAGGTATGTCATCGCTGAATATTTTTTCTCAATATGTAAGTAGTCTTTTCAGTCTTTTGGAGAAATCTTCTCATGTGCATAACAATTCAATTTTTAGAAGGTCCCAGTCATCTAGTTATCTTCTGCTATTTGTGCATTTTTACTTATGTTTGATAGTCTAGTAATGCCCTTTATCAGTTTGCCCCTATTTTTTCTTTGATGAACTTTATACTTTTATGTTTTACATCCAAGTCTTTGATCCGTCTGGACTTAGTTTTTGTGTGTGGTGCAAAGCATGGATCTTGTTTCATTTTTCTGCAGATGGATATCCAGTTTTGCCAGTGCAGTTTGTTACACAGGCTATCTCTTCCCTATTTAATGGATTTCGGCCCAAAGATCAGCTGACCATAGGTCAATGGATTGATTTCTGGGTTCTCAGTTCTGTTCCGCTGGTCTGTGTGTTTGTCATTGTATCAATACCAGGCTGTTTTGACAACTTTGGCTGTGTAGTAGGTTAGTAGATCAGGGAGTGTAAGATCTCCTACTTTGTTCTTCTTTTTCAGTAGTGTTTGGCTTATCTTTCTTTTCCATATAAAATTAGCAATTAGTTTTTCATTGCCCTTAAAGAATGCTAATGGAATCTGGATTGGGATTGCATTGAATGTATTGTTCTGGAGGCTTCTGTTGGTGATGACATAAACCTGTACACTATTAGTTTTTTTTTTTTTTTTTTAATATTAGCATTGATTTTTAGTCAAATACATTGTATCTTCAATATGTACTGACGTTTTTGGTGTCAAGTTCACATGGTAATTCAATGTTTCTCATTCCCACTGAACCATCCATACCTATACACCAAAATTTTATCATGCTTTTGCTGTCAAAAGAGTTGAAAAGAGTGAAGTTTTTGATTTTGCTTTGCCTTAAAAATAAGCCTCCATCACAAAGAGAAATGGGTTGATTCACGTTCTATGTATTTATATTTGCTGGACCTTCAGTGCTAGGAGGGTAGAGAATTAGAGAATGCCTAATCAGAAAGAAGGGGTGATAAAGAGATATTCTATTTTATCCTAATATGCTTATAGATACTTACTTTTTTTTTTTGAATGAGTGTAAGTCACATGCATATTAGAAGCTTTGCTTTCCTTCTGTAAAACCATTCTAATCAGATTACACATCCTGAATTTTACTTCAGTGTTCTGAACCTGAAATTTTGACCACACTTTTCCATTTTAAACTCTGATGGTTTTGAGATGATAGACAATGTCAGCAGCCTATAACCAATGATAGCCATGATTCCGCCTTGGAAGCCCAAGGAGGGGTTGCTATGAGTCGGGTCTGACTTGAGGGCACATAACAACAATGACGACAACAACAACAACAGCCATGAGTCATACTTCTATGAAGTAGAACTCTAAAAGTAGTCCTACTTTTAATCAAGGAATCAAAGACCATTGAATATAGATTTCCAAAAACATATTTTGGAGCTTCAAGTTTTGTAGTGTTAGCATGTTAAGTTTATACAGTATTATTTGTCATATCATAGAAATCGGTGTAGTTGGCTGCCTAGAATAACGCCATCTTGTGTAGTGTAGTAAGAAATGAAATTATACAGTAGCTATCAGAGTCAGATAGTCTACCTAAATGACTTGAAGGCATGCCTTTGGTTTTGGTAGGGTTTGAATCCAGTTTCTGCTACTTAATAGCTCTCTATATAACCTTTGGCAAATTACATTCTCTGCTCCATTTTTCTCATCCATAAAATGGGCATAGTAGTACATACCACCTCGTAGAATTGTTATGAGATTAAAATGAATTTATACGTTAGATGATTGCCTGATATTTATGTGTTAGCTATTATTAACTATTTTTGTTATTACCAGCCCTCTCAGCCTTAGTGTATACTTCTGCTGTAAAAGATATATATTGTACTATAAATTATTTTCATGCCCTCTCCATGATTCTTTTACCTTCAGGGTAGAGTCCATGCTTTATTTGCTTTGTGCTATGTAGAGTATGTTCCTAATATAGTTGAATGAAGTTAGAAAGTGTGATATATTTAGATTTTTTAAAAAATAAACTTTCATTCTAATCTAGCTTTAATTCATTGCTGTTTGATTTATTGACAGTTTAAAAAAAAAGTTTCAGTAACATGAACTTTTTTTCAGTAGACAAGCAAGGATGTTTTAAATAACTATTATTAAAGTATATTATTTAATATCTTACTTCTTGTTTTCATTTTTTTTGGGGGGATGATGATGGTGTAAACAGTACCTGAGTGTGTCTGGAGAATAAATGTGGATATTCCTGAGGAAGCTAATCAGAATCTTTCATTCGGTGCTACTGAGCGATGGTGGGAGCAGATGGATTTGACCAAACTAATCATATCAAACAATAAACTTCACTCACTTACAGATGACCTCAGACTCCTGCCTGCATTGACTGTCCTTGATGTAAGTTGATGGATAATAAATATGGGTCATTAGTTTAAGAGACTCCAAAACTAAATTCAGACTTTAATAAGCAGAACACCTTTGACATTCAATTGGTAGAATTCAAGGACAAAAAAATACTGTTAGGCACAGCATAATGGTTTAAAGTACAGAGTTGGTGAGAACATCAATTTCTGACACTATTAAACTTGAAAATGGTATGATTCTGTGAGGATACAAGAAAAATTCCCCTCTTCCTTTTAATATACTTTTTTGTTTTATATGTTGGGATAAAGCATACCATCAGAGGGCTGTTGTTAGTTCCTAAACTCCTCATCTCTCTTTGAATTAAAAATTTCAGTTAAGGTCAATTTCTTTTTTACTACAGTATTTTAAACTGATGATTATCACTTCATGGTTTCTGAACAGCAATTTGGTCAATCTCAAACTCTTCCACGCACAGAACTAATTATTAGTAGTCCAACTTGTTGCCATTGAATTAGAATAATGGAATTGTCGAATTTAGTATAATGGAAAGTACATATAATGTTAATTTTATGACTAAAATTTTGACTTTTTCTCTTAAAATTTTTAGATACATGATAATCAGCTGACATCTCTTCCTTCTGCTATAAGAGAGCTGGAAAATCTTCAGAAACTTAATGTCAGGTACATTTTAAACTTATTTATTTCTACTATTGCTATTATAAACTTGTAAATCTAATGTTTTTTATATGTTTTTCCTAACATAAGAACGTATCTTCATATTATCTCAAAGTGGTTAAAGCAGAATAAGAATTTTAATTTTTAAATAAGATTATTTTTGATTGTTTATTTTTGGTTTTAGGATTTCCTACATATTTTCAGGTCTTGTGAATTTAGGACCAGTTGATTTTTTGAAAATAATTTTTCTTTCATTTTTATGAAATAATTTTTAATGGTTCTTATTACAGAAAACATCTTTGTTGATGTCTCAAATTTTAAGTTACCTCACTCTTCTAAAATATATCTAGATGATGTAATGATGGGAAATGTCATGGTTATTACAGTAGTAGTTTTTAAATTTTTCCATGGGTTCCTGGCATTCCATAGATTTGCTCTTGGTTCTGTCATGGACAGGTACATTGGAGGTGGCTAGCCGGGTAGTGCTAATCATTTTGCCCCCCAATACACACCTAGATTTTCAATAGATGATGACTTTGCCTTGTTTTGTATATGGGGAATTAAGAAAGATTTCATTTAGGAAAAAATGGTTTAAGTGCTTTAAACATAGTTTGTAAAACCTTGACTTATAAAATGGATATATTATAGTTCTAACAGTCAAATCTCAGTTTTCTGGAGGAAAATTAACTAGATTGAGGGAAAATAGTCCCTCAAATAACAGTCCTCTTTTGGTGAAAAACATCAAATTACCATAAATCAGCAAAAATATCTGAACAGTGCTAACTGTTCAGAACTATCAGAATGTCTTTGCCTTACAAGTCAAAAGTATAGTTGTGGCATGCAAAGACAAGACAAGATAAGATTGAGGGGAAGGAGAGAGAGAACATGGAGTGGGTGTGGCTTTAGCTTTAGAGTCTAACACAGGAGTATGAGTGTTAGTGTGGAGGAATTAGGTGAGAAAAGGAGATGCAAGAATTATAAAGCTAGGATTATATCTCTATACAACTAGATCCCTATCAAAGATTTCAGCTAAGTAGTTCTTATTTTAGAAGATATCCTTTGCCTTTTTTTCTGTTCTAATTACACCCACTTTTCATCCAAGATGGGTGTCAGAAGACACTCTGAAATTTGCTCTTTAGTGGAGTGTAGCTAAAGCAAATGGAGGAAATGATGAAGTAAAAGAGCTGAACAGAAGATTTCAAAGGGTGTCTCGAAGACAAAGTAAAATATGTACAAAGACCTGGGGTTAGGAAATCAAAGGGGAACAACGCACTCAGCATTTCTCAAGCTGAAAGAACTGAAGAAAAAATCAAGCCTCCAGTTGGAAAATTGAAAACTTCTGTGGGAAAAATACTGCGTGATGCAGGAAGCATCAGAAGAAGATGAAAGGAATATAGAGTCACGATACCAAAAAGAATTGGTCAATGTTCAACCATTTCAGGAGGTAGCATATGATCAAGAACTGATGGTACTGAAGGGAGAAGTCCAAACTGCACTGAAGGAATTGGTGAAAAAGAAGGCTCAAGGAATTGACCGAATAACTACTGTTTTGACAAACAAATGCAGTGATGGAAGTGCTCATTTATTTATACCAAGAAATTTGGAAGATAACTGCCTGGCCAAGAGACTAGAAGAGATCCATATTTGTGCACATTCCAAAGAAAGGTGATCCAATGGAATGTGAAAATTATCTAACAGTATCACATGCAGGTAAAATTTTGCTGAAGATAATTCAAAAATGGTTGCAGCATTATATTGACAGGAACTGCCGGAAATTCAAGCTGGATTCAGAAGAGGTTGTGGCATGAGGGACATCATTGCTGATGTCAGATAGATCTTGACTGAAAGCAAAGAATACAAGAAAGATATTTACTTGTGTTTTATTTACTATGCAAAGGTCGATGTAGATCTTAACAAATTATAAAGTGTTGAACAAGAACAAGAAATCTAGAACATTTGGTTGTGTCCATGAAGAACCTATGCATAGACCAAGAGGCAATAATTCAAACAGAACAAGGGGATACTGAGTGTTCTAAAATCAGGAAAAGTGTGTATCAAGGTTGTATCCTTTCCCCATGCTTACTCAGTCTGTATGCTGAGCAAATAATCTGAGAAGCTGGACTATATGAAGAAGAATGCAGCATCAGGATTGGAAGAAGGCTCACTAACAACCTGTGATATGCAGATGACATAGCCTTGCTTATTGAAGGTGAAGATGACTTGAAGCACTTATTGATGAAGATGGGAGATAAGAGCCTTCAGTATGAATTACACTTCAACATAAAGAAAACGAAAATCCTCACAACTGGTCCAATAAGCAACATTATGATAAATGGAGAAAAGATAGAAACCATCAAAAATTTCATTTTACTTGGCTCCATAATCAACATCTGTGGAAGCAATAGTCAAGAAATCATAGGACATATTGTATTGGGCAAATCTGCAAAAGACCTCTCTAAAGTGTTAAAGAGCAAAGATGTCACTTTGAAGACTAAGATGTGCCTGACCCAAGCCATGGTGTATTTTTAATAGCCTCGTATGTATGTGAAAGCTGGACAATGAATAAGGAAGACTGAAGAATTGATGCCTTGGAACTATGGTGTTGACTAAGGATATTGAAAATACCATGGACTGGCATTGCAACAAACAAATCTGTCTTAAAAGAAGCGCTGCTGGAATCCTCCTCAGAAGCAAGAGTGGCCAGATTCCATCCCTCGTACTTGGGTCATATTATCAGAACAGTCTAGTCCCTGGAGAAGGATGTCATGCTTGGTAAAGTGGAACGTGAGAGAAAAAATGAGCTGGATTGACACAGTGGCTGCAGCATAGCAAGGAACGTGAGGGTGGTGCAGAACTGGCAGTGTTTCTTTCTGTTGTACATAGGGTCACTGTGAGTCAAAACCGACTTGATAGCACCTAACAACAACGTTTATTTGATTTTTCTAAAATTTTACCCAGTTTATATTTTTCCCCTAACGAGTAAAATGCATATTAACAATCTGCATCAGAAAAAAGAAGTTTGTTTTTCAAGTATGCAAAACTTTGTATTAAAAAGTAAATTAAAAATCCTTAGAATAGCAAATGCCTTCTTAGATGTAAAAAACTACTTCATTTTTATGTTTATTTATATTGAGGTTTACTGAAAGTACATTCTTCTGTAGTGACTCTGTATAGAAACATCCTGAACTGCAACACCCATTCCTCAGTTATTGACATGATTATGTTCTATAGGTTAGGTCATTATGTGAAAATTGACATTATACAAAAATGAAGGATAATCATATCAGATCACACAATGGAGAATGACTACATCATTACATAACTGCCAGAATTTCCATCATTACATAACTGTCAAATTACATCATTACATAACTAGCAAACCACTGAGAATCATGGGCCAGCCACATTGATAAATAACCTTAACTATCACAGCCAGCATTACTCTTGTCTCTCACATTACATTCACTTCAGCATTCATTACTACCAAATGTGCATCATTAATGTGCAAAATAGTTAGATACTAGATTTTTTATTAATGCAAAATGTGGATAGCAAGAGAGTCACTAAGTGAGGAGTATGTGTAGTTTTGTTTAATGTAATTTAGAGTTATTGTACCCAATACCCCATGTTATTCCTATTTGTGAGATGACTGTATATGGTATAAAAATAGAGTGTAATTAATAGGTGAATAGTTAACTTTGGAAAAACCTGGGAACAATTTCTAGATTATTAAGAAGTGTATCATCCTTAGTGAATTGGGAATTCTCATGAATTGGTATGCTGAATATATTCACAGAAAGGCTGACCTGAAAAGTTAAGACCAAGTATAAAGAATAGAGGTTTAACGTATTGTATCCAACTTCATAAGCCATGTCCTCATACAGAAAAAGCTATTTTGGCCTTCAGTGCTAAGTTTAGAACCTACTTTCCACATAAGTTGTGATTCATTTTAATGTGTATGTGTATATCTTTTTCTCAAAATTCTAAAACTCAGAAATGATTAAGAGTTCTGTCTTTTCACATTACACACAAAAAATCAAGAATTGATTATAATGAGCAGTTACAAATTATTTGTTTGGTTTAAGACTTACTGTTCTCTCTTTCCTTGTCTTCCTTTCTTTTTTCCTTGAAATTGCTGTCATTTTAGTGAGTATTTGCTTTTGGAAGTGAAGTTTGATATGTTTATAAAAATTCCTAATCATATTTGTAAATGAACCCATGTACCTGGTTAACAAAAATGCCCCTATAACTTTGATAAATATTTATTGTATTGCCACCAAATTATTCAGCATTATTTTATCAACCAATAGCCATAATAAACTGAGAATACTCCCAGAAGAAATTACAAATCTCAGAAACCTGAAGGGCCTGTATCTCCAGCATAATGAACTAACTTGCATACCAGATGGATTTGAGCAACTCGTCAATTTAGAAGATTTAGTAAGTTGTGATTTTCTAATTTTTACATAATCTGGGGCTGGTGGGATTTTTTAATAAGGCTGAGGAATCGAATCATGGGTAGCTGAGTTTATGACTAGATTATCAGAAACTTCATTTGTATTAGATTGCTACGTTAGCAATTTTAAGTTTGTATTTATGAAATCAATTTTAAATTTTAGTTCAGGACTAGAGTTGGGGAGAAGGGCAGTGAAGATGACTGTGTTATTCAGAGGCTTTCATAGCACAGTGGTGTAGATGATGCTGTGTAGTTGTCTTTAGCAACTAGCATAACTAGTTGTATAGTTTCTTTAGCAGTATAGCTGCTTTAGCAACTAGCAGTCCCCTTTTCTATACCAATTTTCACTTATTCCCCTATGACATCTCTTGCCTTCCAGAACTCTGACTCTTCAGACAATCCCTCCACAGCCTGCATTTCTACTATTTCCCAAAATAGCCACATTTCTTGGCAAAATAATACTTCATGTTTCACTTAAATAGAGAGAAACTGTAAAGCAAAAAAATACATTGATCATACTGTTTAGAATAAGAGGAGCCGTGGTGGCACAGTGCTTAAGCACTGAACTGCTAATCAACAGGTGAGAGGTTTGACTCTACCAGCTGTTCCATGGGAGAAAGAAACAGTCTGCTTCTATAATAAAGATTTACACCCTTGGAAACCCTATGGGGCAGTTCTGCTCTGTCCTATAGGGTCACTGTAAGTTGAAATCAACTCAACGGCAAGAGATACTAATAGTAAAAACAGTAGACACTTTACTTTGTGCTTTATGTTATCATAAACAGTATTTTTATCCCCTAATACGTATAAGAAACTAAACCTTATAAAAGAAAGATAAGATTTATGAAAGCATGCGACTAAAAGATACAAAGTCAGGATTTGAACATAAGTCATTATGAGTCCAAAAAGTTATCTTTTTTTATTTTCTTCTTCTCACTTTACCATAACAAGAGTATGATTCCATATACGGTGTCCTTACCTAAAAGACATTACCTATATTATATCCATGAAGAAAAACAACACAAACCTATTGCCATTGACTCAATCCACTCATAGTGACCCTGTGGGACAAAGTAGAACTTACTGCTCCATATGGTTTCCAGGGCTATAAATCTGTGCTGAAGCAGACTGTCGTATCTTTCTCCCATGGAGCAGCTGATGGGGTTGAACTGGTGACCTTTTGATTAGCAGCCAGGCACTTAACCACTGTACTACCAGGGCTCCTTAATATTATGTCAGAGATTCTAACACCTAATCTTAAGATTAAAGTCTACAGTCTTTAGTATAGATTACACCTCAACATAAAGAAAACAGAAATCCTTACAACTGGACCAATAAGTGGCATCACGATAAATGGAGAAAAGATTGAAGTTGTCAAAGATTTCATTTTATTTGGATCCACTATCAACACCCCTGGAAATCAAGCAGTCAAGAAATCAGACATCTTATTACACTGGGCAAGTCTCCTGCAAAAGACCTCTTTTAAGTTTTGAAGAGCAGAGATGTCACTTTGAAAACTCAAGTGTGCCTGACCCAAGCCGTGGTATTTTCAGTCACCTCTATCCATGTGAAAGCTGGACAGTGAACAAGAAAGACCAAAGAAGAGTTGATGCCTTTGAATTATAGTGTTGGCGAAGAATACTGAAAATACCATCGACTGCCAAAAGAAGGAACAAATCTGTTCTAAAAGAACTGCAGCCAGAATGCTCCTGGAACCGTTTGGTCATGTTGTGAGAAGGGACTGTTCTCTGGAGAAGGATATCTTGCTTGGTAAAGTGGAGAGTCTGTGAAAAAGGGGAAGACCCTAGACAAGATGGTTTGACACAGTTACTGCAACTGTGGGCTCAAGTTTAGCAAGAATTGTGAGGATGGTGCATGACCAGGCAGTGTTTCATCCTGCTACACATAGGTTGCTATGAGTTGGAGCCAACTTGACTGCACCTAACAACAACAATCTTCACTTTACATGGCTATTTCATTTTATGTTCTTGTTCGTTTTTGTCTTACATATTTTGGAAAATCAGTGTCATTTTAGTATTAAATTTTATTTTTATTAAAGAAAAAACTATTCCATTTGCATTTTTTCTTTTTTTTTTTTATAAATACATGTCTTGGTTCTCTAGTGCTGCTGTAATAGAAATACCACAAGTGGATAGCTTAACAAACAGGAATTTATTCTCTTACAGTTTAGGAGGCTAGAAGTCCAAGTTCAGAATGTCAGCTCTAGAGAATGGGTGAAGTCCCCTTGGGCTTTAGCTCAACCTCTTATTCCAGGCTGGAGGCTTCTTGCAACTCAAGCAGCTATTGGCTGCTAAGGCTGCTGAACCCAAGGTTGGCAAGTAGAATGACACAATCTCAAGATTAACAGGCAACATGGCAGGCCACTAAGATGAAGACTCTGCCAAATGCAGCATCCCGATGTGCTGAAAAGCTAGAGACCTTTCCTAAAGCTCTTCCATATGTACTTGAAGCAGGCCACATCATCCCTAAGGTAATGCTCCTTCAATTGATTGGGTGCTCACAGCAGGTTCCACCATGGAAGTGATTACAATCTTATCATGGGCAATACCTACATCCAGCTGCCCAGCCACTCAAACCAATGGCCCAGCCAAGGTGACACACAACCTTAACTACTGCAACATCTTCCTTGATACTTCCCTCCTCTGTAGTGTTTGAAATTACAATATATATTCTTCTCAACTACTTCGGTATCTCTGTTTTTTAATCTGATCAGATTGTGGCTAAGGTTTGGAAAATAAAAGGTATAGGTAGGTAACATCAATGGTAGAAGGGGGAGCCATCAGATTTTCTTATAAAAATTAGTGGCAAAAAATAACAGTTGATATAAAGAGTCCATTTAAAGTTGAAAGCTGAAATCAAACTTTGTAATAAACTGAAGCAGTTCCCAATTTCCTCTTTATGGGTTCCCAGATAGTAATTTAACTAATGGAAGGATATTTTAGTTGAGAATTGTGTTCTTAAGGACTCATTATCAAATCATTAACATGAGCAATAGTATTTTAAAACAGATTAAAAATATAAATATAATAATTTAAATTGGTAATATTTCTTAAAGTTACATAAAAATTTAACACAATGAAACTAAATAATTATTGAAAGAATGACTTTGTATAACTAATGATTAATTTATAAATAACATACTACATTTTAAATTTAAATAATTAAAATTTAATTTTGTAAGTAATTTTTGGGCTTTTAAAATATAGAGGGAATTATTAAAAGGATATATTTTTTTTAAATGTCTTAAGGATTTCTAAATTAATAGTTTCTCTTTTTCAATAACTTTATTTTAAACTTTTTCTTTTTAAATAATTTTTGATCTGTAGAAAAGCTGTAAAGATAATACAGAGTTCCCATATAAATACTTCACCCAGTTTCCCATAATGTTAACATTTTATGTTGGGTACAACATTTGTAAACACTAAGAAATTAACACTGGTACAATACTATTAACTAGGGATTTTGTTGAGATTTCCCCAGTTTTTCAAGTAATGTCCTTTTTTTGTTCCAGGATCCAATTTGGGATACCACATTGCATTTGGGGTCAGTAACTTGATATTGTTGTTGTTGTTAAGTGCTGTCCAGTTCGCTCCAACTCATAGTGACCCTATGTACAACAGAATGAAACAATACCCAGTCATGTGCCATCCTCACAATCCTTGCCATGCTTGAACCCATCATTGTAGCCACTGTGTCAATCCATCTTGTTTAGGGTCTTTTCTTTGCTGACCTTCTGCTTTACCAAGCATGATATATTTCTCTAGGGATTGGTCCCTTCTGACAACATGACTGTTTTGGTTACTAGTGCTGCTCTAACAGAAAATACCACAAATGGGATGGCCTTAACAAACAGGAGTTTATTCTTACAATTTTTCGAGCCTAGAAGTCCAGGCTCTAGGTGCTGTGTGAAAGCCACTCACCCTTGGGCTTCAGCTCTGCCTCCTGCTCCTGTACCACTGAAGCTAGAGGCATTCTTCAGTCAGGAGCTACTGGCTGCTGAGGCTAACAAGCCCAAGGTCGACAAATAAAATGGCACAATCCCAATGTTACCAAACAACATGGCAGGCCATTGATTCAAGTCCATTGAAAGTCCCAAGGTTGGCAGAGCATGGCAGGCTGTTGAACAATGACTTGGTTCATGCAGGGTTCAAGCATGCCACAAGCTAGAGACCATTCCCACAGCTGCTGCTTACATATGGGAAGCAGACTACATCCCTAAAGCAGCTACTCAGCTGTTTGTGGTAGATCCCACCATGGAGTTGATTGCCAGTCTCATCATGGGGAATAACTACCACCAGCTTCCCAGCCACTCAACCAGGCCCAGCCAAGTTAACACACAACCTCAAGTACCACAATGATCAAAGTAAGTGAGACAAAGTCTGGCCATTCTTGCTTCTGGGGAGGATTCTGGTTGCACTTCCTCCAGGACAGATTTGTTTGTTTTTCTAGCAGATCACCGTGTTTTCAGTATTCTTTACCACGCCACAGTTAAAAGGCATCAACTCCATCAACTCTTCTTCAGTCTTCCTTATTCATTAGCCAGCTTTCACATGCATATGAGGCAAGTGAAAATACCATGGCTTGAGTCAGACATACCTTATTCTTCAAAGTGACATCTTTGTTCCTTTTCATGTTAAAGAGGTCTTTTGCAGCACATTTGCCCAGTGCCATAGGTCCTATCATTTCTTGACTGTTGCTTCCATGGGTGTCGATTGTAGATCCAAATAAAATGAAATTGTTGTCAGCTTCAGTCTTTTCTCCATTTATCATAATGTTGCTTATTGGTCCAGTTGTGAGAATTTTTGTCTTTTTTTATGTTGAGGTGTAATCCACACTGACTCTTCGGTCTTTGGTCTTCATCAGTAAGTGCTCCAATGCATCTTCAATTTCAGCAAGTAAGATTGTGTCATCTGCATATCGTAGGTTATTAATGGTTCTTCCTCTACTCCTGATGCCACTATCT